TTTTTTTTGAGGGCATACTTTTACACTAAATGGGACAAAACCCCTTAAAATATCATTAAAGGGGGTAAATTATCACCGCTAGCATTTGAGGCCATGCTTTTTCTTTTTCATTTCACTCAAATGCCTCCTCAAACAATTCTTTTAAAAATACCCATATTACCCTTGTTCAGTATTTGGAATTAGGAACAATGAGGGTAATTTCAGTAATCCCCCCCCCCCCCGGCATCCTAAAGTGGGCAACTCAAATAACAAAAATACCCGTAGTTGTTTTGGATTACAAATAAAGAATGCTTTGATCAGTATTTGTAATGTGGAACAACTAGGGGTATTTTTTGTAATTCTGCACTTAAATGCTTTGCATCGATAAAATTAAAAAATAGCCCTAGTTCTTTCATCTATTTAATACAGAACAATGTGTTCCTTATTTGTAATGCAGAACAACTAGGGGTACATTTGTCATTCGGGTAAAGCCTCATGGTGAAGTACTGAAATGCCCGTCATTGTTGGGTAAACGAACTATTTAAGGAGCCATATCAGTGAAATGGAAAAGAAAAAGTATGACCTCAAATGTAAGTAGGATAATTTGACCTTTTAATGATATTTTGAGGGGTTTTCCCCTTTTTAATGATGTTTTCCCCTTTTTTTAAAATAGTTTGACACCCTCCTTCAATTTGGTGAATAATTTATCATTCCACTTGAATGTTGTTTCTAATTCATGCACGTAAGTACATAGTTCGGTAACAAATAAGCATTTGTTGTAGGGGCCAGTGCAACTTGCATTGGCATCTACATTTATCCCTTCAATTTATTGTATGTCTCAAAATAATTCAAAGGGAAAAACATTGTTTGTTAAATTTCACTATCAATGGCGTCTCCTTCTCTCATCTGGAACCAGATCTATGCCCTCTACCCCAAGCCCCCTCCTCCCCCTCGCCGCTCTCCTCTCCCTCACAAACAGCCACTTCGAGCCAACCTAACTACTTCTAGTAATGCAAAGGTGGTGGCTACGAACAGCAGATCTCCTGAGGTCGAAACTAGGATTCCTCGGGCTCCTACTCCAAATGCCTCTCTACGACAGCTAACTATGCAGGAACACCCAGCAACTTTTTGCAACTGTATTTTCGTCCCCCGGTTAGTGTCAACACCCCTCAAATCCAAGCTCGAGGCGTCCTTGGTCGGATCTTTCTCACCAAGGCGATATGACATTAGGGGGATTGAGAAGCTTGCTAAACTCACCTAGAAAATCTCTCTTGTAGGCAGCTCTCAGGAGGGGAAGTACTTTTCTCTTTCCCCTCCCCAGAACTAGCTCAGCATGTTTTAAACGAGGCTCCTCCTCTCTCTTTTAAAGGAGCCACCGCTCAGCTTCGCCTTTGGTTTCCTTATGTCGGCTCTTTCTCCAAACAGAGAGTCTGGCTTACCCTTGATCATATCTCCAGCTACTTTCAAGATTATAGTAGCAGCTTGTGGGGATCTTGTCTCAATCCTTTGGAAATCCCCAGAGTTTCTTCCTCTCGGGTCCATTCGACTAATGTTGGAAGTGCTTGACCCCTACCAAATACCTTCAACCCCTACTTTCGGTTGCGCTTTCTTGGTCTCTTGCATCCTCGCCTTCCCCCCATTTCTTCAACCAGCCTTCCTACCCCCGGGAGAGCACTAGGAAACTCTCTCAGTGGACCCTGGTTAAACAGAAAAGACGATGGAAAAAAGTTTCTAGACGGAATGTCGAAGATTTTTTGGTGGCCTCCACTCTTCTGCCCCCCGGATGCAAACGGCCACCTGCTAGTCAAGGCAGGAGCCGTGTGTCAGCAAACTTCAAAAATCCCCACGTCCAACTCAGCACCCCGGCTAGACATAGGCGCTGATGGCTCAGTTGGGCCTGGTTTCAGCTCGCCCAAACACGTTCTTGACCATCAGCACATCCCGGCTATCCCATTACTCGTGCCCCCCCC